ATAAACGTATTATTGTGCATAGTGATAACAAGAGTGCTATATCATGGTTGAATAATGGGACATCACGTAATAATATTGCGATGTCTTTGTGTCGCTCAATTTTTTGGGTGTGTGCCTCTTTAAATTGTACACTTCAAGCCAAATTCTTGCCCGGAGTCAATAATGTTGTAGCGGACACTTGTTCACGACTCCATGATATAAACAAGCTACCCGTGCTTTATTCTCTCTTACCGTCATTACAGTTTCATCCATTTCATATTCTCGAACTGTGTAGTCACATGACTTTGAAATTTATTTTCAATAGGTGGTTTAACCGAGGAATACCTGACACAGCAGACTGCAGATTTAAAGAATAAAGCTTGGTCTACGAGTACGGCAGTAACTTATCGTACACATCTCAAATGTTATTTAAATTTTTGTGAGCTTTTCGAAAAATGCGCGGTTCCCGTTGATTCACAAACTCTCCAGTTATATGTAACGTATTTAGTTAAAGTTAAGCATTTCAAGTATGCCACGGTCCAGCAATATCTGAATATTTTACCGCATGTACATAAGTTATCTGGTTTTTCCGATCTTTTACAAGGCGATAGTCACCTAAAAATGTTGTTAATGGGTGTTAAGAGGGAACTGGGATTAGCTCAGATTCCCGTCGATGTTATCAGACCAGATATATTATTTAAGATTAAGTGTGTATTAAGTTTTGACGATGTCTTTGATCATGCTTTCTGGTGCGCTTGCTTAACTGCTTTCTTCGGATTACTTCGCCCAGGCAATGTGACTGTGGCATCTACCTTTGATCCAAATAAGGATTTATTGTTATGTTCATGGGGCTATCTCTTAAGTTTGCGGTACACAAAGACTGTGCAGTTTCGAGAAAAGGAGATTACGGTCTGTTTACCGCGAATAGATAATCCCTTATGTCCTGCAAAGGCTTTCGATACTTTTCTTGATAGGACAAACTCAGTCGATCCCTTAGGTCCCCTTTTCATTGTTGACAATAGCAGATGTTTGACTTATAAAGGATTTTGCTCAAAGTTACATGAATCACTCTCATTTGCTGGAATACCAAATTCTAAAATAAAGGGCTATTCTTTCAGACGAGGTGGTGCTACGTGGCTTAATAGAATTGGCATCCCGAAAGATACCATTAAAGCCATAGGTTACTGGTCCAGTGAGGCCGTTATGCGTTATATCGATACGGATTTCTCCAATAAAGTACTTACTATGACTGCATTTGGGGAGTCATTTACAAACCCATAATTCTTTATTAGAATGACCAATGTCACCATACCTGTTTCCATATATTCTCTCAGTTCTCATTAACTGGGCTGGGGAATTTTATTTGTATAAAAATTGTAATTTGTAATTATTTGTATTAAGTTCTGATTTTCAATGATATTTTGTAATTATGATGTTTCTGATATGGGCTATGCAAACCATTAAAGAGTTTGCCCAGTTCATATTTGTTATTGTTTCTTCTGCCCGTTTTCACGAATGAATGGGGTCAAAGTGTTTTTTTAATATATTAAAATATATTTTGGTAATGAACGAGTACTACCGAATGCATCATTTTGGACTAGGAGTTGCCTCCCTCCGTATTGGTGTCGTTCATCCAACGCAGAGGGCGTTGTTGGCGGCATTCTGCAAAATTATCTTCCCACCGCACCTCACCCGCATTTTACTTTAGTCACTTTGCTCGTTGCATAACCACTTCGTTAGTAGTATTACTCGGTGGTTTTTCTTTGCATTTAATAGGCTACTTTTTTGTTTGAAGGGGGGTGGGGAATTTTATTTGTATAAAAATTGTAATTTGTATTAAGTTCTGATTTTCAATGATATTTTGTAATTATGATGTTTCTGATATGGGCTATGCAAGCCATTAAAGAGTTTGCCCAGTTCATATTTGTTATTGTTTCTTCTGCCCGTTTTCACGAATGAATGGGGTCAAAATAGATTTGTATCGTTTTAAACACGTGAGCTTTCAATTATTTAAAATAGCTAAGTCCTTAACACAATATCATCCAAAATCTTCGACATGGAAAACACGAATTGTTTTGCAATTTAAATCAGCATTGGTGTTGTGATCTTACCGGGAAAAGGTGGGCTTCTGATATCCAATATTTAAGACAAAATAAACACTTAACCATTGGTACACGAATCGTGTACCATAATGCGTTTCAGCGCCATTTGTAACAAGGTGCTCAAAGAATGAGGCTAGACATATTCCACAAGTAATGTCAAACGGCGATATCATGTTCTTATTTGGAGAGCATGCGCAATCAATAATATCGGTGTTGACTGGAATAACCAGACGCTAGAAACTGACTTGCGGTTGAGACTTCTGACGTATTTCGCCGAACATAACTTACTGATGACAATTCACAGTAAAACGGACACAATTGAATGTAAAACAGTTTATATAAATTCATATTACATTATTATATGTGTTGCGATCCATTTGTGCCAATTTCTAGGTCCAAAATATTAGCGATTTAGCTCCTTTAAGTATTAATTAGCTAGTTACTTCAAACCCACCACACTGGCAGATCCGATTCCATGTAAAACCGTTGAGAAAATTTTACGTTACCAGCTTTGGCCGCCGGCCTGTGATCTAATAGGATACCGCAGCCTAATTTAGGTTTCTCTGGAAAAATATAGTCGTTGTTTGATTAAGGTAATCTAAATTATGCATGAATATTTAACAATATTTATTGAATTAAAAACACAGCTTGATCTACCTTTAACTCCGTACATCTTATCAAGGCTAGATGTTGTAAAATTCGAGGTCATTGCTTCAGGAAGATTCCTCTTTAGTTGAGGAGCTTTGTCTCAAAGGAACAAAATCACTCCGTTTCGATGTAGTTCATAGTCATTTTGCTGAACCATGCAGTGTCAAACAGATACCAAACAGATACAGTGGTTCAGGTATGCTATAAATTGACTGGAACATGTTTCATACAGTCTAAAATATCTTTGGAGAGACCACGTCTCTTTATAAAATAAATATTGGATTATTGTGCCTATACAGCATCATGTCAATTCAGTGGTTACCACGCCCCTGTCTCATGGCTGACTATTTGTTTAAAAAAGATGTTAACTTTATGTATCGTACACGACTAGCACTACTCTTTTACATTATTCAATTTTATTTTTGTACATGTTTTTAAATCCTATACAAACAAGAGTTTTGATAAATTAGCACATCTTAATGAAAACAAACTCGTTTCTGAATGAGCGGGGTTGGGTAGTCTAATAAGGTCTGTCATTGAGTCAACTGGCGTGGTTTCGATTCCCCGGTTGTACGTGACAAGGAGTAGGGTCGCCTGTCCTGTCTCATGGGTTTTCTCCGGATCTGCTTAAAACCCCTATTGAAATAAAATTGAACCATAAGTTAGTCCCGAAATGATCTAGTTTGTCTTGAGTGGACGTTACCCCCCCCCCCCCTCTCTCTCTCTCTCTCTGAATCCGACTGGGCTAATGAAGACGGAAACTCGTTTGAACGGAATCTAGTCAATGAAAAAGGCCAATTAAATCAGGTATTTAAACATCTTGGTCTCCCAATTTACATGAATGGCAGATGAAGACGTTTATTGAAAAGATGTGGAAGGAGTTTGTATACGGTCGGGAACATCATTAAAACTTGTCCCATTACAAACAAGTATATTCTTTGAAATATATAAATGCACGAAGATGCATGTATAATATAAATGACGTATAAAGAAACTACAAACTGCAACCCAATCTGCTTTCTTAGAATTGTTGAGTAATTTCAAAATCGATTTGGCAGCCTTTTCTAAGAAAATATACGTCATAATTAATGAGTAATACTGATATGGATTATATATACATGTATTTAAATAAGGTTATATATGGATATCATTTAACAATAAGATTGATGATTAAAAAACGATATTTTGACTACAATTAATTAGGGAGGGAGCGGCATTTCGGGAAACAAATTTGACATCCTTTATGACGTGTACTGCTTTTTCCCGGGTAGTGTTATTAGAAATAGTTATGGTTGCATAAGTTTTCTTGATATTTAGATTTGGATACATGACACGGTGGTGTTGGGTGGGCGAGTTGTCTAACAAATGCTCTTTATATCATAAGGTTTGTCATTAAGTCCAGATTCTTTGGTTTTGTTTACTATAACCTGAGGCATGAGGCTAAACTACAAGATGATCAATTCCAAATGGAATTCATATTTGACACACAATAATACAAAGGTTTTCTGTACCCGAACCTTCTAAAATATGCACGAGATGTTGATAAACGCGTTATGGATTTGAGTGGTTTCTTTTGTTTGCGATAGCGTTGCATAACAACCAGAAACGTGGTGCAGTTTCGACACTATCCCACAAGCTTTTACAGAAATCAAAAGTGAAAGGAATTTCTCAGAAACCCTTTTGTTGTGTAAGGATATTACTGATTTCTTATAGTGTTAAAGATGCCTTCCCACGTACAAACTGTGTGATTTGATGACATATTTGAACAAAAACACATATTCAAATCAACGTATCTGTTAAACAGTCTTGTGTACGGTACGTTTAAGTCTTTCGTCGTCTTCACAACCGCTAACCATCCGATCAATAGATACCAAGCACTCTTTGTGCTGTCGAGCAGAAAACAAACTGACAGCAGGCAGTTGTTAAAGCCCTTACATTTTTGTTCTGTGCGCGCCCAATATATCTTTGGGGGATATCTTTCTAGTAAGAGTGTGCGTCTCTACTTTCCATATACATGTATTAAAACATTACAAAACTTTCATTTAAAAAACTACCCGATAAATACTTTCGCGGCGATGTATCTTTAAACGCACATAATATGATCTGTTGTATACTTGAAATCTATATATTTTGACCATTAATATTTGCATAACTTTGATAACGCTATCAAACCAACTACGTTGGAATTTCTACTTTCGTTTTTTTTTATAAATAATTTCCACCACAAATCGTATGATTACACCCAATGAAACATATGGAAAATTACCCAAGGACAAATATTTAGACTATATAAGGAAGGTGTCAGGACTCGATAAGCAAATCGCAGGGCAATATTACTCAACGACCGGAAGGGTTCTTCTCTGAAGAAGACGAAATTATGGAGTGGAAAAAAATGAAAAGAAAAAAACGAATACACTGCAGAGTTAAAAAAAGGTAAGTAAGATTAATTAACGATTCATTTTAGGGTCAATTTGCTTTATTCTACTAGGGCTTTTTAATGATTGATCTAGAGTACAAGTGAGGTTGCGTATTGTCATAAATACAATTGTGTAGATTGCGTATATTTGTGATACTTATTAATTAACAGAACACCAGCCGTTGTTCTGGTCTACAGCACTGCTTAGTTTACACAGCATTAATTTGATTTTCAGAGGAGTTCTTATAAAAAGATTCATGTAACATTAATTGAATTGTATTGTCAATTTTGTAAATGGTTTCAATATTTTCATTATACCTCTTTTTTTTTCTTTTTAAATTTTAGACTGGCGCAGCGTAATCCAAACAATCCTGGGTATAAGCGTTATTCTGGATATTATGGTGGCGATGGTAAGCGGATACATTTTATTTTTATTTCTGATCTTTGTTATGACAAATAATGAGAATAATCGGTGAGAATATTTTTACTATGTCGCCTTTAACGTACTGATTTCTATACACGGACTAATTTTGAAATATTTGTTTTGTTGTTGAAGGCAGATGACGTAAATTGACAGACACAGCATGCAATTATATGAATTTCCTTGAAAACAATTTTGAAATGGAAAAACCTCATGAAATTTCAACTTTCTAGGCATTTCAAAAATCTACCAGATCAGAGAAAACAATAAATAGTTGATTCCGATAAGGATGAGAGTATATCAGGTTTTTTTTTTGTTTCTTTAGGTACCCAAGCTGACCGGGACAAACACAGTGACCAATTAAATCCAAATAACAACTAACACAAGGGATCGAAAAATTAATCAACTGAGTTGATTAAATATAGTATTTAAAAAGTTTTAGTGTCCATTCGTAATATGAATTAATACACATGTATTTAATTTGTATAATTAATTTATATAATAAACACTAACAACTTAATTTATTATTAATGTATCTGATGTATGCTATTACAAGGGCTGTAAAATGTTCACCCTAATCCATTGATAAATATTGATAAAGATATCACTTTTGCTCTGAGAGCTAATTAACTCGTGCCGATGTTACCCTACCAGCGATATTAGCAGCCAAGCGAATATTTACTTCTGATCAGTTTGATTCTAAACGGGGTAACCTTAATCTGTTTTTAGAGCTCCCGTTTGGCTTTGTTCTTCCACTGTACTTTTAGTATAGTAAGAGAGGAGCAAATGTCCCACTTCTCACAAAAATTCCTCCACTCCGCTTTGTAAAAACGGGAGGGAAATGGCATATTATGTGGACATCACACTTAGTGCAGGGCTTTCGCATACCAAACCAACATGATACAGAATAAAAGTGACACGGTAGTGTTTCTATCTTTCAGGGTATGGGGAACGAAGTGGAATGGGGTTTAGCGTTTATTTATCAGCAATATTAAGGCTAATAAATTAAATGGGGTTTAACGTGCTACTGTTCATCTCCGACTGGGCTAATGAAGACAGGATTAAACTATGCAGTGAGGGAAATTTCGCCCGGACAGCGATGCTACGGCATACTCTTATATCGAATTCCAACTGCCAAGGGATCTTTTAAGTGCCCGTCTATGTTGTACACGGGACCTCGTTTTTTCGTCATTTCCGAACGACTATATGTTGTTCCTTGAAAGATCCTCAGTCTGGCACCACTGATAAGGGGAACCACCCCTTCGTGAACGCAGGGATCGATCACGGGACCACCAGGTTAGTGAGCCAATTAGTGAGCTAAGGCTCATTTGTAAGCCACCGTGGCTCATCGGGCTGATAAAGATGTACATACACCATGCAGCGTGGCCATGAGGGAAATATTACCCGGGCGGTGACGCTTCCGGTTATACTTCAGCAGTCACTGTATATAAGATACCTTAGTTTTTGTCCAATCCGAATAATTAGACGTTGTTTCTTGCTATACCCATTGTCACCACTGGCAATGATAAACTAGATTTAAAAATCCCTGGTAATTTCCTTGGGGAAACACCGGTATGGATTCACGGACCTCCTTGTTAGTAAGCTAGTGCCCTACTGACTGCATATCCGTGCTTTCTTATAAACTTTCCAATGGGAGCCCAAGGCTTGAAATATGAGACGTGAATGGGAAACCTAATTTAAGCCATTTTTAGATGTATAGAAAAGATGAAACTTATGATAAGAAATCCATTGACTTTGAAGATCTTTATGAAAATCGAAAAATAGCTATTTCTTTTATAATAACCGACAGTGATTCAGATTCCTTATAATTGCCTTTGCCCCATTTGATGAATTCACATACCCAACAAATTTATGTTGTACATTTGCGTTAGTCTGGTGTCTCATAAACTTTGAATTTTGAAGAGGTTTTTTTTTTATCTCTTTATTAATAATAATTCAGTACACGCGGTAAAACTCTGAAACAAACACAGCTAGAACTCTATTAATAAAAAGTTCGGTTTTGAGATACTATTTAAAAACGTTAATAGAATTTACGCGTTAGATTTGATTTGATATTGAATTCCATAAATTTAGAGCACTGCCGCTTGCGAAGGATCTATCACCTGGTTGATTTTGAAAAAGGGATAAATTAAGAGGTTGTCTGATTGTGATCGAAGAGTTCTTGAAGGTTTATTGGTGTTGAGAAGGTATCTAATAAGGCATTGGGGCGAAGAATCATACAGAGTAGAATATGTAATAGACAGTATTTTAAAATTGATACGTTGACGAAATGGAAGCCGATGACAATCTTTCAGAATTGGTGTCATATATATTATGTTCATTTGGTGTAGTCTTGGTTATTATCCGGGCTGCTATAATTTGAAGTTTCCGAAGTCGTTTGATTGTCAAAAGTGAATTACAGTAGTCGAGTTTTGATGTAACCATAGTGTTTACCAACATTTTAGTCATGCCCCTATCGATGGAAGATCTAATTTTTCCAATATTATAAATCTGAAAATTAATAGTTCTGCTAATGCTTGTTTATTCATGATAAATTATTCAATTCAGAATAAATACCAAGATTTTTTACATCATCTGTTGGTTTAATAGAGATTTTGCCAGTTTGATAGTTTTCTGTGTTAGATTTTAGTAGCTCCTGCCGGCTGTCAAATTTCATTATTTCTGTTTTGTCATCGTTTAGCTTTAAAAATTTTGAATCCATCCATTTACGTTACGAATATCTGATAAACAGGCTTGAAGTTTGCATATCTCAGATGGATCAGAAGAAGGCCCAAAAGCTATATAAATTTGAATGCCATCGGTGTACAGATGATAGTTAAGGTTGTGTTTACGAATGGCATTTCCTAGAGATGTTAAAACCGTGTAGTTAGATGAGGAACCTTTGATAACATCTGCTTGTGTACGATTTTCACGGTATGACTGGAATCATTTAAGTACTAGTCCACTTACACCAAAGTTGTTCAGTTATCGTGTAAAGGGCGTCAAGAATGTGATTGCCGTATCTTACTTTCAGCTCACTTTCCTAGTTCATGAGTTCAGTGTTTTGGAAGGATTTTTTTTTTCAAATACAATAGGTTGGGCAGAAGAATATGGAGAAGAATATAGAGAATCGACAAATAAATTTATGAGGACAATATCGTAAACAGTGTTAAATTCGTTTATACTGTAAGATTAAATAAAATGCCGACAAAATTGTTTACGAGTGAAATATCAGCATTAACGGTTTGGAAATACTCATAATAGGCCGTCGTTTCGTGAATTCGTCTCCTATTTCCGAAATTAATTCATTTATGGTTAGTTGGAATAGTTGTATACTGTGTAAATGTAGGTAAATCAAAGAGAGGTGTTACACAATAGGCATAGTCTGTTCCCCATTACAAATTCAGATATTTACTGAATAAAAATATTGTTTATAAAAAAGATCATTGCATTTCAATTTTCAACAGCAATGCGAGGGAGACAACTATTGTAAGTATTAGTTATGTCCTTTGGAAAGTTTCTACCCGGTTGAAATGCATCTCGTTGTAACTTAGCGAGTTTTTGACCGATTTTATGAATTCATTTTCCATTAATATTCTTGACAAAATCCGAAATTCTGCCTGGTTCAAATGTTCCTCGTTATAACTTAGCGCGATAATAAGATTCTTGACAAAATCAGTAACATCTAAGTTTCACTAAGTTATTTCACTTTGTTGTGTTTTGCCGCAGCCCGGTTGAAATGTTTATCGTTGTACCTTAGCGACCTATTTTGATAATTCCCATTTCTTTTAATTGATGGCCGAGTGGTCTACCTCGTGCACTTTAGTTCACAAGATCTGCCATTGAATCAAGAGGTGTTGATTTGACCCCAAGCTTAACCAAATCAAGGTAGTCTGGTCATTTTAGATAACCTCGAAAGTGTCGTAATCTTGAGGGGGGGGGGGGGAGTAAATTCTCCAAAATAAAACGCCTTCAATGGTTTATGAATAATGAATAAAATGGGGTTTTAGGTCCCACTTTTCTACCCCAGTTTGACTAATAAGGACGCGCATCTATCTTGTGGTGAAGGCGTGTAACCTTTATTCAGTATAAATCTACAAATACAATTATTGAGAGTTATTCATACAAGTGGGCCAATCATAATTGCTCAAAAATGTACATGATTACACGTTTATCTTAAATAACAACAAATAAACAATCAGATTTCTTTACCATAACAGTAACATTACAACAATTGTATTAAAAATATTTTCCTTTCTTATTGTAATCAGTTTTCCAAGAACCTGACTATCCAGGTATTTTCTTTTTAAAAAGGCTATAAGTCATTGGTTCAAAATATATCATAAAATGTAGTCTTATCTAACAGATCGTACCATTTGTAATTAACACGACGTTTCAAAGCCATGAAACTATTCAATTGTTTTTTTTTTTCAGACAACTAGTATCATTATGTATAGCATTCGTTGTAAAACCAATTCGGAGAGATTTTGATTTGACAGTTTTTACGTATTTTTGAAACAGGTTTCGAAGTAACACAAGGTACAATTTTATGGATACACAATTACTGAGTTTGATACTAAGTGACGTTTCGATGAGGATACTCTCGTCTTTATCAAGCAAATGATACAAATATGTGAATTGTGGGAAAATATATATACAGAATATGCAACAAAGATAATAATCAAATGCAATTAAAGCTTAACACCTTTGATTAGGAGGCCATTAGGAACTAAACCTACACAACGGAAATCTTTTACAGGGATTAAAAGGAGGTGAATGCTATATTTATAAAAATCAGTGTATTAACACTGTTAATGGAAAACCAATTAAACCTGAGCTATAGATAAACAATAATATAATGAGAAGTGTGTATGTATAATTGAACTAGCGTGATCGCTGATGCAGGTGTAAAGAAAAATAATAATACATTACAAATTAAAAATTAAAAATAAAATTATAAAATATATTAATTCAATGAACAGAAAATCATGGAAGATAATATCATGCTTGTTATTAGACTGTAAAAAATGGACGGGGGGAGCCGTAAATATATTGATTCAATAAACTGAAAATAGAGGATGGTGAAACATATCTCCAGGCTAATAACAAGCTGTATATTCTGTATATATATATGTGACCCTCCAGCACAAAACCAGACCTAAGTCCCGATTTTTAAAAACTGTGATTTAATGTTTATCTTAAAGGGGACTGAAACCGCTTTCTGTTGATATATAAAATATGCAAATTACAAAAAAATTGACTGAGATATGGCCATCTGAAATTTCCATAGCTGCGATGCTGCCAAATTCAAAATAATGAGAAATTTGCCTTTTAAAAGAGCCAAAATAAATCCCATAGTAACCCATATTACTATTGCTTACATATAAATGAAACTTTGTGCATATAATAATGTGTGGGGTACCAACATTTGTACAAAATTTCAACAACATATACCTTTGGTAAGATTTTTTTTTTTTTTTGGGGGGGGGGGGGTCTGAAATTTACCTGAAATCCATATTT